AACAAACAATGGCTAAGGGAAAGTGGCTTATCATAATGAGTGAACTGTCATATCCCCACCCCACCCCACCCCACCCCATCCCAACCCACCCATGCTCTGTCTCTATTGCGGCTATTAAAATAATTTTGTGTGGGTGTTCCTGCATGTTCCTTTTCAGTTTGGATTCTACAAACATTTTTCAGAGTTGAAGATTTTGAAAGAAAACTTCACCCTTAAAAATCTGCACCTCTTTGTATAACAATTTGATGGGCTTAGGACGGGTTCATCATCTAAATGTCATGTGCACAACATTATCTCAAGAATCTCTAGAAGGTCAGAGCAGGAACTAGGATTTCAATGCAGAAGACTGTGTGAATTCAACAGTAGTTTCCTGCTCAAATGAGACATACGACCTTCAACTTGCAAGACATGGTTTTACCTCCTATAAAATAAACCTGTCGCTTTACATATTTTTAAGGATTTAAAAATTGTGCCTTGACTGGTGTTAGAACTTGTTCAGCATTGGATACCATGTCTAAAATGGAGGATGAAGGAACTCTAAAAGATCAAAGCAGTGCAAGGGTCTTTTATATTGAAGGCTATGCAAATTCAGTGACAGATTCCTGCTCAAAGGACCCATATGATCCTCCTCTCCTGTTACGCCCAACAACACAAAGTTTGAGTGCTTGTCTGAATGTTTTCCCATCAGTAAGACTCGTCTGATCCTTACATTGAGCAAAAATGGCACTCTGGATAAACCTCATATTGTTATTAGTAGCCCTCAGAGGTATTATTTTTCTGTTTCCAAAAGAGGATTTTTATCCCCATTTTTTGTGTGTTTTCCTGCAGAAGGTCTTATTAAACAACATGTCTTTCTAGGTGTCCAGTCAGAGGTCCAGCTGGTGGAGTCTGGAGGGGATGTGAGAAGACCTGGTGATTCCCTCCGTCTCTCCTGCCAAGGCTCCGGATTCACCTTCAGCAGCTACTGGATGTCCTGGGTGAGGCAGTATCCGGGGAAAGGACTGGAATGGGTTGCACAGATAAGTCACACTGGAAGTACTATTCGCTACTCTGACAAAGTGAAAGGACGCTTCTCCATCTCCAGGGACAATGCCAAAAGCCAGCTGTATCTGCAAATGAACAACCTCAAGGTGGAGGACACAGGACGCTATTACTGTGCGAGAGACACAGTGAGAGGAAGTGAATCTGAAGCCTGGAAAAAACTGCCCGTTCCTCAGAGCAGCTCTGCGAGTTCATCCATGAACCACAGTTTCAACTGGTATGCCAAAATTGTGAAGAATCCTACCTTAAAAAACAAATTAAAAAATCACAAAAAGTTACTCTCCTTAACAGAAGAAACAAACACATAAAAAGTCTTCTGGACGTCAACCATTTCTTCCCAGAATCACTTTCCCTCTTGCAATACAACCATGTCCTGGACAATTCATCTTAGGTTGCTACTTCTCATCTTTCTCACTGGAAGGCAGTATTGTCACCCAGAACAAACTGGCCATGAGGGAGGGCTAGCAATGATAACCAGAGTTTCCAGAAGGGATTTTATTTGGGGGGGGGGCTGTTTCCTTGACTGTTTGGTTGAAAATTCCTAGAAATGGTTAAATGGCAGCTGAACTCCCCCTGGAATTACCATTTTCTGTAATTCCAAGGGGAATTCTCTCCAGAGCTTTTCTCTTGAATATAAAGCAAACTGAATTTTTGGGATAATGCAAAATGATTTATTCCTCTTTGTCAGTTCCCTGAAAGAATGTGGGGTCATAATGTAATTTCTTGTTTTTAAATTTAGGGAGACTAAAGGATTGCGTTTCGCATTTCATTCTTCAAACCCTGGTCTACACTAAATTAATCCTGGTGTCTTTAACCTACCATTGATAAATAGCTTATCCAAACTGAGTTGTTCACATGAGTCCTCCCATTTTGCCACTGATGTGGCTTTTAAAAAATCCTTGATGAGTGCTGGTCCATTTTAGGTTTGAGATTTGATTCTAGAAATGCTTTTCTGACTGGAAGAATCTGCAAAACATAGTTTTACTTTCTATAAAATAAGCCTACTGATTCACATATTTCTTAAGGAGTAAAATATTCTGCCTTGACTGGTGTTTGGACTTTTTTAGCATTTCAACAGTATGTACACAATATAAGTTGAAGGGAATATAGAAAGTCAAAGCAGTGCGTGGCTCTCTTATCCTGAGGGCTATGCAAATTCAGTGACAGCTTCCTGCTCAAAGGGGCCATATCATCCTGTTCTCCTGCTACGCCCAAAGACACAGAGTTTGAATGCGTGTCTGAACGTTTTCCCATCAGGAAGACACTCCGAACTTTACATTTAGCAAAAATGGCACCCTGGATAAACCTCATATTCTTATTAGTAGTCCTCAGAGGTATTATTCTTCCCGTCCTAAAAGAAGCTTTTTATCACCGATTTTGAGTTTACCTGCAGAAGTTCTTATTTAAAAAAAAAAATTCTTTCTAGGTGTCCAGTCAGAGGTCCAGTTGGTGGAGTCTGGAGGGGATGTGAGAAGACCTGGAGACTCCCTCCGCCTCTCCTGCCAAGGCTCTGGATTCACCTTCAGCAGCTATGACATGAGCTGGGTGAGACAGTATCCGGGGAAAGGACTGGAATGGGTGGCATTCATCAACCCCAGTTCCAGCACTATTTACTACTCAGACAAAGT